CCTTGTTGAATTCCCTCCTTCCTCCCAGGGTGCCTAAGCCTCTGCCCAGGTTTTCTGCCCTGGACCTCTGAGTCTCCAGGGCTGGGTCCTGCCTTGTCCTCAGAGCTCTCTGGGGAGCCTAGATTATCTCCATGGATGAGTCTTTGCTCCCCCTGCCAGACTTCCCTGATTGATGTCCATCAGCTATCTCCCAAGATCCATGATCTGCTTCCCTGCACAGACTCCAACCTGCAGCTGACCACCGAGCTCTCCATCATCCACCCCTAAAAGCTTCTTTCCAGAGTTCCATGCTGGGGCGCTACCTTCCCTGCCCTGCTGGGCCTTCCAGTGTCTTGCCCTCCATTCATGCCCACCCCGTGTCAGGCCTGGGCTGCCACCCATGGAGCATCTTCCCTGACCCTAGCTCTCTAGAAATCCAGGGTCTCTGCCATTCACCAGAAGGGACGCTAGCCAGTCCCTCCTTCCCAACCTTACAAGCCCTCCTGAGGCAAGTGCCCCTGACCTTCCAGAGCTTGTCCCAGAGAGTAGGTGTGACAATGAGGCCAGCTCTGTCTCTCTGGGATTTCAGAGATTTTCACATTTTATTTTACATCTTTGGGAACAGCAGAACTTGGCTGGGAAACCCAGCGACAAGCCAGCCTTCGCTCAGCCACCCTCTGCAATCTTCCCTGGCAGCTGGTGCGGGCTGATGGCATTGCACAGAAATGGATGGGTGCTTCTCGCTTTAGCAAAAAAGAGAAAAGAAAGACAAGAAAGCAAGGGAAGAAGCCAAGAGGAAAAGAGAGATAGAGAGAGACGGGGACGGAGAAGGAAGGAGAGAGGGAGAAGAAAAAAAGACTGACACAGAAAGATAAAGAAAGGGGGAAGGAAGAAAGAGAGAAGAGAGAAAAGGAAGAAAGGGAGCACAGCTGGGGAGTATAATTTTACATGTATTTCAGAGCCAAGCTGAATGTCACAGAAGCAATTTGGGGCGGGTAGATACACTATCTATGGGGACTGTCTGCTTCTTGATTTTTTTTCAGAGTAGAGACAGAGACATACAGTGAGAGAGAGAGGCAGAGAAGGGGGGAAGGGGAGACAGAAAGACAGAGGGGGGCAGAAAAAGGGGGAGGGGAGACAGAGACAGAAAGAAAGACAGAGATGGAGGAGAAACAGAGAAAGAGAAAGGAAAGGGAAGGAGAGACAGAGAGAGAAAGAGGGAAAGAGAGAAAAATAAAGATACGGAATGGAGAGAGGAGAAGAAGAGGGGAGGGGAAGAAAGGATAGATGGAAGGAAGGAAGGAACTGGGGATGTTTAATCTGGCAAATAGAAGCGGGCCTCAGAGAGTACAGAGCTTGCTGTCTTCAAACAGTTGAAAGGCCATGGCATGTTCTGCTCGGTCCTAGAGAAACAAACTAGGAGCAATGTGGGAAAGCCGCAGAGAGGCTGCTGCCTAACTCAGCGTGAGGAAGGATTGCCTGGGAATTGGCGCTGTCCAGCAGCACTCAGGAGGCAGTCACTGGGACTCTTTCAACATCGGCTTATGACAACTTGTCAGGGAGAGGCTGGCTTGGATGGATAGCTCCAGGAGTTTGTGGGGCGGGGAGGCAGGAAGACAGAAAGGATGGAAGGAGAGAAGGAAGAGAGAAGGGAAGGAAGGAAGGAAAAGAGAGAGGGAGGAAGGAGGAAAGGAGGGAGGAGAGGAGGCATGGATCTTGGTTGAAGGAACTAGGGACTTTTGGGACAAAGAAAAGTCAGGAGGGCCATGAGAGCTCTCTTCAAATGTTTAAAGAAGGGACTGGCCTTCTGCTTGGCCCAAGAGGAGTAGACATTCCTGCAAGGAGCAGGCTGCCCAATAGGACAGAGGCTTAAGTGGTGGCTATATGAGCCCTTGGTAGAGGGAATTCCTGTTCAGGTAGGAGGTTAATTAAGTCAACTAGCACTTATTAAGCACCTACTGTGTGCCAGGTATTATGCTAAGCTCTGGGAGGCAAAAACCCACAACCAGACCCTGCTTTCAAGGAACTCACAGTGTATTAGATTAGAAGGCCACTAAGGTCCCTTTTAGCTCTGAGGTCCCATGATTCTTTGAAAGAAGAAAAGAAAGAGGGGAGGGGGAGAGAGAGAAGGAGAGAGAGAGAGAAAGAGAGAGAGAGAGAGAGGAGAGAGAGAGAGAGAGAGAGAGAGAGAGAGAGGAGAGAGAGGAGCCCAGTGAGAGAAGGTAGGGAAAGCAGGAAGGAGAGAGGGAAGGGAGGAAGAAATGAAGGAAGGAAAGGAAGAAGGAAGGGAGGAAAGAAGGGAAGGAGGGCTTATTTTCCCTTGGCTTCAGAGTCACAGAGACAGTGAGGGGATGGCGGATACACTATGGGGGCCATTTGCTCTTTGAAAGATTTTATTTGTCTAACATGCTTGACAAAAAAATTACAGGAACAATCCAGTTCTGCCAGAATGATTAAAGAGCGCTCTCTAATCGTTCATACCTCAAGTCCTTTTAATGAATTTTCCTTTAAAGGAGCAGCTGTGTTCATAACGTTTTCCACATAAAAATACACAATATTTTGAACATACCTTAGGAAAAATGGTTTTGTAAAGAGAGTATTTGATGACTGACATACAAAAACTGCCTCTTGACCCTCACCCCACCCCACCCCCTTACCTGGTCTAATAGTTTTAGTATCTGTAGCACTGAGAGGCTCAATGTAAACATTTCTGGCTTCTTTCCCTTAGAGCCTATTTCCAGGAGTGGGGGCACCTGCTGCCCATGACCTTGTCCTGAGCTAAGGTGAAGTCCCACTCTCAGTGATCCCTTTGTAGTTAATGAAGCCTTGAGTGACACCTGAAAACTATTGGGTCACTAGTTCAGCAGAATGGGCCAATGCCAAGCCCAAGAAAGGAAACCATTGTCCTCTTCCAGGAGAGCTGGGCCAAAGAAGAGGATTCCTGGAGATTCCAGAACCTGAATTTTGGCATAACATGAACCCAAAGCTCACACCAAAAAGAGACCTTTATTTCTTCCCACAACCTTCCTCCATACCAAGGGGAATTTGCTTATCAGCCTGATAGATCACAGTCATAGAATGTGAGCACTGGGAGGGGCCTTAAAACAGGGAGGGTCAGTGATGGGAGGGGCCTGAGAACAGGGGATGTCAGAGCTGGGAGGGGCCTTAGAACAGGGAATGTCAAAGCTGGGAGGGGCTTTAGAAAAAAAATATGAATATCAGAGCTAGGAGGGGCCTTGGAACAAATGAATTCTAGAGTTCGGAGGGATCTTAGAACATGGAATGTTAAAGGTAGAGGGGCCATACAACATAGAACATAAACTATTAGGGCAGTATCTAAGAATCTAGAATACCAAAGCATGAAAAGCCTTTAGAACATGGACTATTGGACAAGAGAAGGTGCCTTGGCACGTAAATCGTCAGAACATCGCATTTGAAAGTGGCAGAGACTCTCAGCATCTTGTCCAACTTCCTCATTCATCAGAGAGGGAAGCTGAGACCCCATGGGGAAGTTAGTTGTTCCTGGTAATGCAGGAAACAACCAGGGTCTTACTCTGGTCTTTAGATTCCCTGGCAATGCCCCCTCAGCTGGTTGACATCCAGTCAAGGTTCTAACCTAAAGGATACTATTGTGGGGTTCCAAATCTGAATGGTAAAGAGGAAATGGAATGAAGGAAGCATGTCCTGTCCAAGGACAGTGCAGGAGGCAGGAGACCCATTTCGCTGAGGCTTCTGGGAATGTACGCCGTGGTGCATGTGTATCGGTGGGCTGGGTTTTAAGCCTTTCTGATTGCCCGTGAACACTTCCAGACTCAGCTCCCAAGCTGTCTGTTTCTGCAAGCAGACACACAGTATGGACACCCACATGGCAAATTTCCCCAAATAAAACTGTTTTCACCCTGACTTGGAGGAACACACTCTGGCCTGGACATGGGCGAGTGCCCCCCTCCCGTGTCCTGGAGCTGCTGAAGAGAGGGCACGGGCCCCTGGAGCAGGAGGCTCTGGCTGTGGGGACCTGTACCTCCATAGCTCAGCCCAGATGGAGTGGTGGTGGCCCCCTGGGGGACAGCTCCTCCTTCAATGTTTGAACACTCTTCGGGAATGGCACGGGCTCGCTCTAATATTTTCATAACAGTTACAGATTACAGCTTTGCAGAAAAATGGCCCCAGCTCTGAGGGGAAGAAAATAAAGGGCCAAGCAGTTGTTTCTGGCAAGCTGGGGAGGAGACTTCCAAGGCTGCACGCAGAGAGCCTCACGAGGTCCCCCCATCCACAGGATCAGGGCACGCCAGACCTGGAAGGGACTCGGGGCTTGTCCGGCTCAATCCCCAAATCCCCTTTCTGAATAAGGAAGCACAGGAAGAGAGAGAGGGACCTGCCGAGGTCACACAGTCCTTAAGGGGCTCCCCTGGAACTAGAACCCAGACCACCCACTGCCAGTGCAAGGCCAAAGAGCCCACACTGTAGCAGTCAGGCCATCCTCCCCTGGGAAGGGCAGTGGGTGCAGGAGTGAGGATAATATTAGAGATTCAGAGCTGGAAGGGATTCATTGAATCCACCACCTTCAGTCATCACAGACCTAGTGACTTGCCCAGGGTCATGCAGTCAGTGTCCGAGGCAGGATTTGAACCCAGGTCTTTCTGAATACAATCTAAGTGCTCAGCCCACTATAGCAGTCTTCCTTCCCTTGCGTTGGCTTCCCCTCATTGGACCTCCCTCCCGTCCCACCGTTTACCCCTTTCTAATGCATTTCTCCCTCAGTGTTGTAGATCAGAGTCATCTATCCCCCTACTAGACTGTGACCTCCCTGAAGGCAGGGGCCCACGTTGGCTAAAACTATTCTGCCTCCCCTAGACCCCAATCAGGGAGCTCCCCAGAGCAGCCACGAATGAAGGTCCGTCCATTGTTAGACAGCGACATCCTAGCTTAGTCTCCTCTGGCTGGGTGCCCAAGAGGTCCCTGAAATTGTGTGTCGATGGAGGCCCTATAATTGTTTAAAAACGAGACATGGAAACAGTACGTGGCGTCATGAGGCGGTGTCCTTTAACAGATTAAATAGAACATACACGCAGAACGGCCTTCCAGCTGCCTGTGGGCCTAGACCCAGGGGTGAGTGGCTCCCTCCAGGGCCCAAGCCCCCTCCCCCAGATGGGATGATGTAGAAGAAAAACAGATGTGGCAGGGGCGCACTCCTGGGGAGAGCCAGGCTCTGCCATCTTTAGCCAGGCACAGACAGTTGCTGACGGGGGGTGGGGGAAGATGAGCCGGGGCCCCGGAGCGATCAGGAGTTTCGGGGGGTGGGCAAATCGATGACTATGGGAGGGTTAACAGGCTGGTAGTTCACAGTGCACACTGACGCGTTCACGTATGTAGTCGTCCCATCTGCCATGACGCCGTACCCTAGGGCAGAAAGAAGCGCATACCTGTTAAACACTCTTCAGATGGAAGATGGGAGAGGCACTGAGTGACATTTCAGCGCTGTGGAAATCAAATCCAGGCCGGTGCCTACTGTGTTCCTGACACTTTGTTCCTGGTGCTAGGCCGGGTATGGGGGTGTCAGAAAGACTCCCCAGCATTCAAATCCTGCCTCACACACTCACTGGCTGTGTGACCCTGGGCAAGTCACTTAACCCTGGTCTGCCTCAGTTTCTTCATCTGTAAAATGGCAGTAACAACAACCGTGTTCCCCACAGGGTCATCCGTGTCTGTACCTCATCCTGTGTCACGCTACCAACCTCCCAGACATCAAACGAGGGCCACGAGGGACCATAATCACAGTCTGGAAGGGCCCCTGCAGACCCTCCCATCCAGCCCCTCTTTTCACAGCCTCAGAGAGGGCAAGGGACTTGTTTCAAGTCACACAGCTATTAGTGACTGACCCATTAAGGATTACACTCTGTGAGGCATGGGTTATTACCCTTATTTTTTAGAGGAGGAAACTGAGGTCCAAAGATGAGCAAATTGGCCAGAGGCACAGAGTTGGGACTCAATCCCACTCCTCTTGCCCTGTTGTCCAAGCCCAGGGCTCTCCTCACTGGCCCACCCTGCCTTTTTCCAGCTCAGGGAGCTGGCGCTGACCCCTCGGTCTTCGGCGGTCACTGACCTTCGTGAATGTGTCCAAAGACATGGAGCCGGGGCTGTATTCGCCTCTGCACCGTGTTCAGCAGCTCGACACATCCCACCCTCTGCATCTTCTTGGGGACCCAGTCTAGAAAACCTGGCAGAGGAAAGGACATTTGAAGGAGGACGTAAAGCATGTTAGATGTTTGACCTGGTGCCAGGCTGTAGAACGCAGGGCTGCAAATTCAGCCGCAGACACTAGACGTGAGACAAGGCACTCTAGCTCTGTCTGCCCCAGTTTCTCTGATCTGTAAAATAGGGATAGTAACCCTACATAACAAGGTTGTTATGAGGATAAATGATACAATATTAAGTACAGTGCTTTGCAAACCCTTAAAAACCCTATAAAAGTACCAGCTATCGTTACTGTCTGAGGAGTGCTTGCGCTGCCGGGGTCTTGAAGGCCACGTGGGAGTAACAAGGAGTTTTGCCCCATCCTCCCCTTCCTCCTCCTGTGGCCCCCCACCCAGGGCCAGGTGCTGCCTCCTCCCATCCAGCTCCTCTCCTTCCATTCCCCCTCCAGGCTCCCAGAACCACCTTTCTCATGCCCAGCTTGGAACATACAACCTTCCTTGGTTCCCTGACACTTATGGGACAGTCACGCCTTCCTTGGGCCAGCATTCAAAGCTCTCTATGCCTGTCCCCACTTTCTCTAACTCCCCCTTATTTCCTAACAGTGCCTGATCTCTTTGCCACAGACCATAGGCCCCCCTGCTCTTCTCTGATCTCTTGACCACCTCCCAAAGGTCCCAGAATTAGAAAGGGCAGAGGTCTTGAGTTGGAAAGGATTTGATAGAACATGGGAGCACCAGCTTAGGGCCAGAAGAGGCCTGAGAGGGGCCAGAGAATGTTTTACAGATGGGGAAACTGAGGCTAGGTCTGAAAGGGAGCTCAGCAGCCATCAAGCCCAACTACATTATTTATTCATTCATTTATTTATTCATTCATTCATTTACTTATTTATTTATCTATCTACTTATTTATTTATTCATTCATTCATTCATTTATTCATTCATTCATTCATTCATTCATTTATTTATTCATTCATTCATTCAGGTGGTGATCAGGGTTAAGTGACCTGCCCAAGGTCACACAGCTAGTTAAGTATTTGAGGCTAGATTTGAACTCAGGTACTCCTGACTCCAAGGCCAGAGCTCTATTCACTGTGCCACCCAGCTGCCCCCCAACTACATTATTTAACACACAAGGAAACTGAGGCTAGAGATGGACAGATCTTGGAAGAGCAACTTCCTTCATTTTCCAGAGGGCCAGAGGTTCCTGACTGGCAAAGGGTCAGAAGCAGGATTTGAACCTGGGTCCTCTGGCTCTTTCCATGGTAGCCCATTGTCCTTTCATGGTCATCTCATGCTCTAGGGGTCTGGCAGGAGTCCAGCTCAAGTCTCCTGTTCTTCCCAACCGATAAGCATTCACGAAGGCTGGCTTGTTGGCCTTCGTGGGCCTGGACGGATAGAGCAGCGGAGGTGGTGTCTCCTTGAGAGCAGGGGAGGCTTCCCTGTCTGCCTCTGGCAGGCCAGGTCTCTGCACAGTCTGGCACACAGTAAGCCCTGAATTAATGCACTCTGCTTTCTTGATCGATCAATGGAGGGCATTCCAGGCACAGAGGACAACTTGTCTGAAGGCAGGAGAGAGGTGTGGAGGATGGGCACAGCTGGGAGTCCAGTTTTCCTGGAACATCCTGTCTGTGAAGGGGACCACAGGAGGCTGCTTTAGAGCCAGGGACACTTGGGAGGTCACCCGACTAATCCTGCTGACTGCACAGGCCTCGAATGCCAGGCTCAGGAGGTGGGGGTTTTCCAAGGGCAAGAGGGAGTCACCGAAGTTTCTGGAGCATGGAAGCAACGTGGTTAGGCCTGAACCTTAGAAACTTCCTCTGCCAGCTCCAGGGAAGGTGAGCCAGAGAAGGGAGACATCGGGGGCAGGGAGACAAGTGAGCAGCTGCTCTCACCTCTCACCAGGGAGGAGTGATGGGGACTGAGCAGCAGAGGGGACTTTGCAGCGAGGATGGGCCGGATTCAAGAGAGGGCGTAGAGGCAGGTGACAAGGCCTGGCATCCGAGTGGCAGTCGAGTCAGGAATGGACCTGCTCTGTAGACTTCGAAGTGCTCTCTCTGTCTCCCTCCCTCCCTGTCTGTCTCTTTTTCCATCTTTCTCTGTCTCTCTGTCTCTTTCTTTCTCTCTCTGTCTGTCTGTCTTTGTCTCTGTCTCTCACTCTCTGTCTCTGTCTTTCTGTCTGTCTCTGTCTCCATTTCTCTGTCTCTGTCTTCCTCCCTTCTTCCCTCCTTCCCTCTCTCTCTGTCTCTCTCTGTCTCTCTCTCTTTGTTCTCTCTGTCTCCTCTCTCTGTTCTCTCTGTCTCTCTGTCTCTCTCTCTCTGTCTCTGTCTCTCTCTCTCTCTCTGTTCTCTCTGTCTCTCTCTCTCTCTCTGTTCTCTCTCTCTCTGTTCTCTCTGTCTCTCTCTCTCTCTCTGTCTCTCTCTCTCTCTCTCTCTCTCTCTGTCTCTCTCTGTCTCCATTTCTCTGTCTCTGTCTTCTTTGTTCCCTCCTTCCCTCTCTCTCTGTCTCTCTCTCTCTCTCTGTCTCTCTCTGTCTCTCTCTGTTCTCTCTGTCTCTCTCTCTGTATCTCTCTGTCTCCATTTCTCTGTCTCTGTCTTCCTCCCTTGTTCCCTCCTTCCTTCTCTCTCTGTCTCTCTCTCTCTGTTCTCTCTGTCTCTCTCTCTCTGTCTCTCTGTCTCTCTCTCTCTGTCTCTCTGTCTCTCTCTTCTCTCTCTCTCTCTCTCTGTCTCTCTCTGTCTCTCTCTCTGTCTCTCTCTCTCTCTGTTCTCTCTCTCTCTCTTCTCTCTCTCTCTCCTCTCTCTCTCTCTCTCTCTCTCTCTCTCTCTCTCTGTCTGTCTCTGTCTCTTTCTCTCTTCCTTACTCCAATTCCCACTTTACAGATGACGGTACTGAGGCTCAGAATTCAAACCCAGGTCTTTTCTGGCTTTCATCCCAGCAGATGCTCCCCTATGGGACCACTGAACCATGGGCTGACACACTGACAGCTGTGAAAGGGCCTCCAAAGCCATCCAGTTCAACGTCACTTTACAGGTGGGAAATCAAGCTTTAGGGAAGCCCGAGGGCCTCCCATGGACACGTTGGAGTCAGAAATAGACACGGTGCTGGGTTTCTTTCTGACTCCCAGCCCAGCCCTCCAGGCACTGGGTGCCTCCAAAGCACCTTCGCGCTACAGCGTGTGAAGCCGGGAGGGGCCCATGATGGCAGTCCCAAGTGTCTGACAGGCCATCACAGGGAAAGGGGAATGGCTTTGCCTTGTGTTGCCTGACCCCAGAGAACCACCCAGGAGCAACGGAGAGAAGCTGAGAGAGGCCACTTGGGGCCATAGGTGAGGAAAGGCTTCCAGACAATTAGTGTATCCAAGTGTAAGGGCTTTCCTTGGAAGGTAGTGAGCTCTCCCCAGAAGCCTTTCTTCAGAGGTGAGGATGGCTCAGCAGAAATGTTTTCAGTCAGGTTTCTTCTTCAGGCACAGGCCAGAGTCATTGGCCTCCAGGCCCCTTCTGCGGAGTTGTGACCATCCCATTCTCCAGAGGAGGAAGCTGAGGTTGGGCGGGGGCAGGTGTCTTGCAGAAGGCCATCCAAGCGAGGAAGGGGACAGCCACTGGGCCCCAGTCCAGCCCTGCTGGCTCCTTTCCACGTGGTGTATCTGTGGGCAGCCCTGTCTGCCAGGGGAACTACTACCTGTGAAGCGCCCTTCAAACCACCACGTGCTTGTAAATGTCACCGGGTATTCTTCTTATCTCTCAGCTCCAGAGCTGGTTTAAACCCAGCGCTTAATGACAAACAACGGAAGAGAGTGAGTCAGGAATTCACTTGTAAGACCAACTGCTCCCCCCTTCCTGGGCAGCATCTCTTCCCCCAAGCTCGCCCACTGGAAAAAATGCTCCCAGGCTTTCAAACAGCCATGCGGCTCACTCTGGCAAAGAGCCAAGGCTGGCTTAGCAAGAAGGTGCTGAGCCGGAATGTGGGGGCTGCACGCAATGTCAGGGAGACAGAGAATCTCCTAAGACCTCAGAGCCTGGGAGCACCCTGGGGGCCTGTAGGCCAGCCCCATTGCTTCACAGGTGAGGAAACTGAGGCTTACAGGCGTTCAAAGGGTATGAGTAAAATTCTAGATGTAGAACTCAAAAGCACTTTAGAAGCCCCTCGGGTACAATGCCCCCATTTTACAGAGGAAACAAGCCAAGGTAAGTCACCTGTCAGTCCATTCATCTAAAAAAACAAACAAGCCTTTCTTAAGTATTTGCTATGGGGCTGCTAGGTGGTGCAGTGGATAGAGCGCTAGGCCTGGAGTCAGGAAGATCTGTGTTCAAATCCAGCCTCAGACACGTCCTAGCTATGTGACCCTGGGCAAGTCACGTAGCCCGGTTTGCCTCAGTTCCCCATCTGTAAACTGGGGATGCACTGGAGATGTATCTTTGCCAAGAAAACTGCATGGACAAGTCCACAGGGTCACGAAGAGGCAAGCGACTGGATGACTGAACAATGCGCCAGGCACTGGGCTGGTACTTGGTTCACAAAGGAAGACAAAGCCAACTCCTTCCCCCATTCCGGGGGGGGGGGAGAGATCACATAAATAACCAGCATAGAAAGAAGATCATTTCAGTGGGAGAGCCCAGCCACCAGGAGGACCAGAGCCAGCCTTCTATGGACGGCGAGATTGGGGCTGACCCTTGAAGGAAGCCAGGGAAGGAGGGAGGGCATTTCAGGTGGGAGGCACAGCCAGGGCAAAGGGACTGAGGTGGGTCAGAGAGGGTTTGAGGAGGATTGAACGGGATGTACGGATGGATCCGAGAGGACCTGGAGGTGACTGGAAAAGCAGGAAAGGGCCAGAGCTTTATATGCCAAATAGAGGACCTCATTTCTGATCCGGAAGGTAATAGGGAGCCATGGTGGCTCATTGAGGAGGGAGGTGACATGGACGGACCTATCTATGCTTTAGGAAAAAAATCACTTTGACATCCAGAGTGGAGGGTAGATCAAAGTGGGGAGAGACCTGCTGAGCCCATAAGTTGCAAATCAGGTGCCAATCTATGTTAGTGGTGGGATTTTCCTCCTCAGAAGTTCACTCTACCAAAGAAATCCTGGGTACAATCCCAGACCAAACGCTTGGGGATTACTCAGCTTGGGGATTAACCACTTGGTTTTTTCCCCTCCTAAAGAAGGACAGGTGCTGTCAGTACCTTCTAAATATTGGTGCCCCGGGCATAGCTACAGTCACCTCACCTTGGTTACATCTCTCCTGTAGGATTAACCTGGACTAATCATTTAACGTGTCTGAGTCTCCATCTCCTCTTCTGTAAATTGGGAATAAGAAAACCTGTCACGACAAGGTTTTGTCCTTTTCTTCAAGAAGGACAGTGGAACCAGATGTCTTTGAAAGATCTCTAGCAAGAAGAGCTGAGAGAAAAAGACTTAACTAACCAGAAAATTCAATCAGCCAGCACCCTCTCTGTTCCTCACAGACGGCTGATAGGCCAACAGCCAGAGCGGGGCTACATTTCTCCCACCAGGCTGCATCTTGCCCAGTTCTCTAAAATATGGCAGGAAACAGGCTATGGTTCAGAGAATTCTAGAACTCAAGGGCTGGGAGGGCCCTTAGAATAGGGGATGTCAGAGCTGGGAGGGGAATTAGAAGAGAGGATGGCAGAGCTGGAAGGGAGCTTAGAACAGGGGATGTCAGAGCTGAGAGGGAGCTTAGAACAGAGGATGGCAGAGCTGGGAGTGGAATTAGAACAGAGAGTGCCAAAACTGAGAGGGAGCTTAGAACAGGGGATGGCAGAGCTGAGAGGGAGCTTAGAACAGGGGATGGCAGAGCTGGGAGGGATAACCCAAAGCTACCGGGAAAACGAATGATTTCCCTACTGGGACACATAGCCCTAGAGACCACAAAGGGGAGACCCTTCCCCTTCAGAAACTTTCCGAGCCAATAGCCAAGCTCCCCTGGTCGGCTCCTTCTTTGAGCGAAGCCTCATTCCCGTGGCATGCCCATTGATCAGCCTCCCAAAGCCTCTCCATAGGTTGGTGCCTGATTCTACACACATGGTTACCCATCCAAGATGAACTGATGGCATTGGGTACACATTTTGGGACAGGGAGGGGAAGGGCTGCAGGCTGGGGGAGAGGAGGGGCCTCCTTGTCACAGGCAACTGAGCTCAAGAGGCAGGGGGTGACGTGGAGACAAATGGGGAGGAGAGATCCCCAGGGACAGAGATGGTGACAGTCGGGGTCTAGGAGGGACTGACAACTAGTGCTTGGAGAGGAGGAAGAGGAGGAGGAGGAGGAGAAGAAGAAAGAGAGAGACAGAGAGACAGACAGACAGACAGACAGAGAGACAGAGACAGACAGAGACAAAGACAGAGAGAAAGTCAGAGAGAGAGATAGAAAGACAGAGGGAAAGAGAGAGAAAGAGAGAGAAAGAGAGAGACACACACAGAGAGACAAATACAGAGACAGAGTGTATGGGAGAGAGAAAGGGCTGCTTTGAAAGGAGACATCTCGCCTCTGCTGTCTAAGTAGAGAGGTGGGAGGCTATGGGTACAGAGAGCTGCATACATTGCTGGGCACAGTCCCTCAGCTGGTTGGGTTTTTTTTGATTGTTTTTCATTGCTGTTAAGGAGAATTCCACAGAAGGGTTTTGGAGGAAGTGTCTATAGTGAAAGAAAATGAACAAACAAAGCTTTTTTTAAAAAGCGTGTATATGCATGTGTGTGTATGTGTGAGAGAGAGAGATACAGACAGAAACAGAAACAAAGAGAAACAATACAGAGAAACAGAGAAGGAGGGAGAGAGGGTTAGGGATAGCTAAGGAAAAAAGCCATTCTGAACTCAGGGCAGGGCCAGTCCTCCTTCCTAATTAAATTTAAGTCACTTAATAGGGACAGAGAATAAATCCAGTGGAAACTTCTTTCGGATCCTGAGAGGCTCAGTAGACTAGAATCCAGTACCAGAGAAGAGGCAGGCTCCGACATGGTCTGTGCTGGCATCAAGGTGGCTCAGGAGGAAGGACTCTCAGGGGTGCCCACCTAGGGCATCACTAGATCCCTCGAGGGCTCTCTGGGCCCAAGGAGGAGCTGAAGGAGGCAGCCCTGCTCACAGTTAAGGAGGGGAGATACAGAGAAGGGCCGTTGGGGAAAAGGAACGGGAAAAGGGAGCATCAGGAGAAGATGGGCCCAGAGGCCCCAGAGCCAAGGGTACCCGCCAAGCGTGTGCTGGGGCAGGGCACCTAATAGGTTTCCTGGTCTGGCAGCAGAGACAATCTGGGTTTGAATCCCAGCTCTGGCACTGACTATGTGACTTTAGGCAGGACCCATCCCCTCTCTGGGCCTCAGTTTCCCCCTCTGGATCAATAATGTTCAATTATTTTAGATTACATGACCCTATCAGTAAAAAATGTTTGTTACTGAATTCCCAAAAAGGAGGGCTGGGGTCGGATAAGGAGTCCGGGCTCCTTCCTCCCAGTCACAGATACAAAGGCCTCCCTCCCTCGGAGGTACCTGCCGGGAGGTGACCTGGGAGCAGGGAAAGGAGCTGGCACCTGGGTGCTGCCCTAGGTAGCCTCCCATGGGAGGAGCTCAGGAGAGGGACTTTGGGAGTTTGCCCCACAGAGGGAAGGAGTGGAGTTAGGAGGCATTGGGAGATAAGGGTAGGTGCAGGTGGTGGGGGGACCAGTGGCCAGAGGGACAAAGCAGGGGAGGGGAAGGAGAGTGGCAGAATCCAGAAGGTCAGAGCTGGACGGGACCTTGGAGATCAGACCTGAACTCCCCTCATTTTACTGATAAACCGAACCTAGAGAGGGCAAGTAACTTGTCCAGGTTACGCAGACAGCCGGTGACTTAGCTAGAACCAGCTTTGAGATTCCTGAGTGGGAACTGGATCTCTTCCCTGCTGCTTCCTTCAAGGCAGGAGGAGAGTAAGGAAAAAGGAGGGTGGGATGGTCACAGGGAAGAGGGAGGGGGAAGCAAAGAAATCCTCTAATGTAGCAGTTAGCACCTTTTGATTTAAAAAATAAAACAAACACATGCAAACTCAGAGCAAATTCCCCACAGAGGCCAGAGTCCCCTCTGACCAGCAGGGCTGCTGTGAGAGCCAAGTTCATGGCCCCGAGACAAGATATTTATTAAAAGCACACACCCACACATTGAATGAATGTATCTAGAACAGGGATCCAGCATGGGCAGCTTGATCATGTCCAGGTTTCTTATTCTTAATGTTCTGTGTTCTAAGCCACCTTCCAGGCCTGACATCTAAGGTCCTTTCCTGCCATTCTTATGTTCTGCGTTCTAAGCCACCTTCCAGGCCTGACATTCCACATTGGAAGACTCTTTCCTGTTCTTATGTTCTCTGTTTTAAGCCACCATCCAGGTCAGACATTCTATGTTCTAAGGCCTTTTCCCACTGTTCTTATGTTCCATGTTCTAAGCTACCTTCCAGGACTGACATTTTACATTCTAAGATCCTTTCCCATTCTTCTGTTCTATTGTTCTAAGCCATCTTCTGGGACTGACATTCCATGGTCTAAGATCCTTTCCTGTTCTTATGTTCTATGTTCTAAGCCACATCCCAGGTCTGACATTCCATATTCTAATCTCTCCCCCTACCCCAGCCCTGACATTCCATTGTCTAAGTCTCTCTTAGCTCTAATATTCTATGATTTAACGAGTCTTCCATTACTTTCCCAGCTGTCTTAGCCACCTTCCCTCTTTCCCATCCCCCTCACATGAGCATAGGGTGCCCTTCATGGCTTCACTGATGAAGTAGGTTGAACCTTACCCAATGGTGGTCCGTGTGTTATAAGAATGTCTATTCCTTCTGGGATCAGATTCCATTTCTCTAACAGAGCCTGGCCTCGAGGGAGATTGAAGCCCCAGCCATAGAACCAGGGTTGCCTGCCAAAAGATGAGGGGAAGGGTTAGCAACAGAACTGATGGAACGGTTGGAAAATCCATTGAAAAAAAAAAACAGCCCAGCACCCAGGCTCTCATTAGAACCAGGTCTCAGAACAACATTGGAGTTTGGAAGCAGGGACGTGACCACTTCACACACATGCACAGTGGCATACAACATACATGTGAGTGTACTCAGGAAAACACGCCTACACAGGTGTGCATGCAAGTCTTTATTCATCATGAGGAAAATCTTCTAGACAGAATAGAACAGTTCATATTTATGAGAAGCAAGAGCACACAGGACAAGTTAGCTTTTGAAAGAGGGGGATAGAGGATAGATACATATGCATATATACATATACAATATATGTAAAATACAAATACATATCTATGTGTATATATATGTGTGTGTGTATATATATATCCACATATACAGTATATGTGTGTATATATATAAATCTATATCTCCAAATCTTTCTCTCTCTCACTCTCTCTCTCTCCCTCTCTCCCTCTCTCTCTCTCTTCCTCCATTTAGAGCTGCCTCTGAATCTGGAAGAAAGACCAGCCTTCATGTCCCCCCCGCCCCATCCTGGCTATGGGATCTTGGTGCTTGACCTCTCCCAGTTCTAGGCAGCTCTCTAGGACTCTGAGGAGCGTGTGCCAATTTACCCCAGACCATCACAGTGACATCACGGGTCCAAGACAAAAAAAAAAAGGTTCTTGTGAGTCGAACCAGACAGTTGGCCAAGTGCTTCAGGTGAATTATCTCATTCGATTTTCATAAGGCTTAGTAGCAGTTACCATCATCATTATTAGTCATAATCCCTGAATGCAGACTTTCTCCTCGGGTCCCAATGCACAGCAAGAGTCTACCAGAGTCATGCTCACCCTGATAAACACTCATTCTCTCCTCATTTGCACAACCATGGAAATCACACTCACTGAATTAACTTCTCTAACACATTCCCTGGTGACCCTCCAAAGCACCCCTCTGCCCAGCACTCAGCAGCCTCCACCAACTCACAGCCAGGGCACACCTTCATCACCAGCTCTCTATGGGACGTAGGTTTGTTGCTGCTGGTACCTGGCACCATATGCCCGGGAGTTATTTTGTACATATTTTTTGTGCACTTGGGTGTCCATGTTGTGTCTCCTCATAAGATGTGGGAGGGCAAGGACTGTGTCATTCCCGTCTTTGTATCCCCAGGGTTTAGGGCAATTACCAGTACACAGTAAGTGCTTAACAAATGTTTGATAATTAAGTGTCTCCTACATGCAGAGCACTGTGCAAGGCTTTGAGAATACAAAGGCAAAGGTGAAAGCTGAGCTGCTCCTTCAATCACCAACCCAAAGCAGCCTCTGGAGCCCTAAATTGATCAACATCGGCCATGATGCTCCCTCTTGCCATTCCTAAACACTGCAGGCACCTAGAACCCTCCGATACACTTGTTTCTCCCCTTTCTCTTTGTAGCCCTGCAGGATCTCCAGTGCCTGATCCCTAGGCTGAATGTGACAGACTTCTGTCTGAGACACAGTGTTCTGAGGCCCCGCTCTTATTGAGAGGGAAGGATGAAGGGAGGGAGGGAGAGAGGGAGAGAGAGAGACACAGAGAGAGAGAGAGAGAGAGAGAGAGAGAGAGAGAGAGAGAGAGAGAGAATAGGAAGAGGGAGAGATAGAAAGAGAGGGAGAGAAAGAAGAGGAGAGGATGGAGAGGGAGAAAGAAAGGAGAGAAAGAAGAGGAAAGGAAGGAGAGAGAGAATGAGAGAGAAAGAAAGAAAAAGAGGAGAGAAAGAAGAGGAGAGGAGGGAGAAACAGAGAGAGAGAGAAAGCAGGAGAGAGAGAGAAGAAAAGAGAGAAAAGAGGGAGAGATGGAGAGGAGAGAAAGAAGAGGAGAAGAGAGAGGGACAGAGAAAGAGAGAGAAAAGGAGAAAAAGAGAGAGAAGAGAGGAAGGAGAGACAGAGAAAGAGAGAATGAGAGAGAAAGAAAGAAAAAGAGAGGGAGAAAGAGGAGAGAAGAGGAGGGTGGGAGGGAAAGAGAGGGACAGAGAGAGAGAGAAGGACAGAGAGACAGAGGAATTAGGGGTAGATATCAGCCACCATAAAGTAGGGAGCCATTTGCTGAGTACTGGGTGTTTAGGTTTTGAGGAAGCAAGGAGACATGGGGCATCACAATCTACGTCTGTGGAGGGAGGGTGGTTCCCCACCAATGACAGCGTGTGGGTGAGGTGGGCTAGAAGAAGGCACCCTGGACTTAGTCACATGACTTGGTTCCATTCCTGGCTTGGTGCCAGAGTCAGATATTACATTACATCATATTGTACTGCATTCTATTATGCTACAATTAATTCAGTGATATCTAATGGCTGTGTGACTCCAAGTTCTCTCGGAGCCTCAATCTCCTCATCCACAAAATGGGAATAATGACCCTGTCACCCTCAAAAGGCAGTTACAAGACGAGCACCTCCCAATCACCAGGTGTTTAATGAATGTGCCCTGTTAGGGTGATGGAGTGCAGGGTGGTGCCATAGGCAGAGCACTGACCTTGGAATCTGGGGGCCTGGGGGGCTGAACGACCCCTCCAATCTTGCCACGAGGCCTCTGTGCCTCAGATTCCTCATCTTTAAAGTAAGAGAGCAGAACTTGACCTTCAATGTCACTCCAACTCAACATCTATGATCCTAGAACGATTTTCAAGTCTTCAAATGGGCCTGCCCCTCAGCAAACAGAAGGGCCAATGAGGGCCAATGAGGGCCAATGCTCACACAGAGCAGACCCTTTCCTCCAGCTTCAGGGCATCACCTGCTCCGTGCTGGTTCCTTGTAGGCTGCTGAAAAATTGCTCAATGGGGTCCTCATCACGGGCATTGGGCTGTCATTGGAACTCAACCACTATCTGGCTCAGGAATGGGTCCCCTGAGAGCACTCAAGTCTGATTTACACACTGAGCCTGGAGAGTGCGATGAAATATTGTCCCACTTGTTCCTTTCTAATCCTGTCCTTTCAGGGAGTGAGATCATAGAATGTGAGACCAAGGGGGGGAATGAAGAAGAGAGGAGAACACTGTCTGGATCTGGGAGGGTCCTGGGACTCATCTTGTACAGCCTGACACTGAATCAGGTCAGGATACTTGGGTCCAAAGACAAGTCAGAGACTTGCCCAAGGTCTCATGGCAAGTTGACAGAGATGTGGGGTCAGGGACTTTCCCTCCACACTGTAGAGTTGGACTCAAGTTCGGAGAAGTAGCAGAAAAGAAGGAGACAGCAGGCGTTCAGACCCAGGCTCTAATTCTAGGACTGCTCTTTCCTCTATATCATGGCTTCCCTGAACAAGGCAGGGTTCGTGGTCACTGAGATCCACCCAACACACAGCCAGCTTGATGCAGAAGAGCTCCCTGGGCTTGAGGCTAGGAGGAAGGTTCTCCAGCCAATGGTCACGGAAGCAGCCCAAGATGAGTCCAACCAGTGAACAACGTCATGTTGTTGACACGTTCCAACGGGGTGTCCATAGAGAAGGAACTTTGTAATGATGGCTAAGGGTTCAGACTGGGGAGTGAGGCAGGCTGGGCCAGAAGTGTCCTGAGTCAACAGATGTAGAGTCTGAACACGGAACTGAGAGCCTAAGGCAAGTCTTGGGGATTGTTCCTTTCCTGGCCCTTGGTTGGGATGGAGTGTAGCTACCATCTAAGGATGGATGGCTATCACTCGGAGGATGGGGCTGGCCTGGCAAAGGGAGGAGACATAAAGTCTCCTTGGTGGAACGATTCATGTTCCAAAGGCAGATTAGAGCTATTTAAGTAAATGAGCCTGGAAGAAAGGATGCTTAGTGGGAACCATGACCTGACTCTCCAAGTACATGAAGGTGGACACATGGAAGAGGGAGGAGTAGTCTGGTGGGATGGGAAGTGTGCTGGACTGGAGTCAGGAAGGCTGAGTTCAAATCCCATATCTGGCACTCATCAGCTGTAACCCTGGGCAAATCACTGACCTTCTCTTAGCCTCCATTTCCTTCTTCTGTCAAATGGGGATATCAGTACCTGCAGAGTCACCCTCACAGGGTTGTGAAAAGGCTTCAATGGAGGATGTATGTAAAGTGCTTTAAATATCTGTTATTGTTATTATTATTTTTGAGCCTTTGTTTCTTCATCTGCAAAATGGGGACAGTTGTATTTCTGTTATCTCTTTCCTAGGGTTGTGGGGAAGATTATAATCGATGCCAAGGGCTTTGTGAACCTAAAGCACTCTGGGAAGGCAAGCTGGGCTCTGCAGACCCAAGTACGCAGACAGGGAGACTTGCCCCAGGAGCAGATTTTAGCTCGCTGTCAGAAAAAACTTCCTCATGACGGGAGCTGTCCAAAGGTGTATTGGGCTGCTTCTTGGAGTAGTGAGTTCCCCATCACTAGCAGACTTCTAGTAGACACTGGCTAACCTCTTGTGGGGGATGTCGAAGAGAGGATCTGCACTTTGGGGAGAGAGTGGATGACATGACCTCTGAGGTTTGTTTTAACTCTGCAATTCTCTGGTTCTATAAAAGGAGAAAAGAATAATCGTAGTAAATTATACTGACTACAGAGCTATAAAGGGAATCTAGGGTCCATAGGAAGAAGACTGGCAGGAAACTATGCTAGTAACCTTAAGGCTTGCATGTGTGTGAGGATGGGGGCTTCCCCCTGCGTTGTGGTTGAGGTCTACAGCAGGGGCTTTTGGGGGTCCGTGCATCAGAGGAGGTCAGAAGAGGGCCTGGTGGTCTCAGGGGAGCTGACCCCTCCCTGCTTCACTGGCTGTCAAGTCACGTGGGTCCATACACTTCGGTGATGCCTCTCTGACAGCCCCCACAGGGTGGAGGTTGGATTAGATGATCTTGAAGTTTCCTCCCATCCCTACAGTTCTGCCATCCTGGGATATGATAACCGACGAGCTGGTCAGGATGTGACCAGATGTAGCAGAGGGTGGCATGAGGGGGAGCTGGTTGGAAGGCCTGGCCTCCCGGACCTCAGTTTCCTCC